GTCTCAGGGTGATCAAAGCCTTTGCTCCATGATCCTCAGCTGATACTTAAACCCAGTGGACAGAGACCTAAAAAGAAATCACCTCAGTTTCTGACCTGCTTCACAGCAAACTGACCTGTTGACCTTTACTGATGGATTATTTACACACACACACACACACACACGTGTTTCCACATAATTACATTCAAACAGTTATTCCTGTTGTCCTAGTTTAGCACAGCACTAACTGAATAGCAACTACATGAAGTCAACTACAGAGTACTAACTAGTATTAACTGGGTAATAGCCTTGAAGGTCTTACCTGACAATGGTGTGTGTGTATGTTGTGTCTCAGCTCTGTCCCTGAACTGGACGTGTTCTTCAGAACTGACTTTGTCAGGTTCACATTAGTAATTGTGTCAGAGGAGGAGCAGTTTGTTTGTACGACTGACTTGTTTGTTTTTCTCTCTTCCTTCTTGTTTCATCTTTTGGATTTATCTACAGGTGAGTCATCATTTTTTATTATTTTATCTCTTATTTCTGCAGAACATGAGTCTAACTCATGGCTAACACAGACATATGTTCACCTCACATTAATACAATATGATAAAGCGTGTGAGTTTTAACTGAACCTGTATATATATCTGATGTGATGTATGTAAATGTCTGAAAGATAATTGACAGCATTAATTACTTTTTAATAATTACTAATTGCTTCTGTTTTTGTTCCTTGTGTTTTACCTCGGACTAACAGCAAAGATCCAACAGGACTGTAAGTCTGTCTTTTTAACACTGTCTTATTTGTTCATTTAAACAACATTAATAACTGTATTTACCTCGAACACTGAACACAACGTATCTGACAAGTCATTGCATTTTTATAGCTTGTATTTATTGTGGGGGGGGGGGGTTTCTTGCCATAAACCATAATATTGAATTTTGTTTTTTGTTTTTTTTTCTTAAAAATGTCATGCCTGTTCTCTGGTATGGAACAATCTGGCTCATAATTTTTTCTAATGCTTTGAGTAAAAGATCATTATGGTCCTAAATGTCATGGTTTATTTCCATTTATTCTGGGGTCGTTTATCCTCAGACAAAGTCAAAAGCTGATCTGATGAAGAGCTTCTCCTCAGAGCCACTCTTTTGTCATAGCCATGCACACACTCGTAGTGGTCCTATGGTTGCCATGGCACCGTCAGGATCAGTATAATGCACAGCTATGTTAGCTGAGCATGACATTAGCTCATAGAGCTTTATCTACAGAACAGAAAAGGTTTCTTTTTACCACCAATGTCTGTTTGGACCACCGATAGTAAATGGGATGAAAAATGTGAGCTGTCCCTTTAAACCAGAAGAACGTCCACTTGTTAAGTGAAGGTATAGCATAGTCAGCATTAACCTGATCTGTGTGACTTTACGACTGTCACTGCGAGGCTGTACTTGAGTCACTAAACTACATGTATTGCGCTCAGCCTCAGCCTGTGTGTGTGTGTTCATTATATTCACACAACCTCCCCTGTGTGACCCCTTCTCTCTCTACACCCCCTCCTGCAGTGAAGCAACCCCCCACCATAGTCAAACAGTCGGTGAAGGACTACATTGTCGACCCCAGAGATAACATCATCATCGAGTGTGAGGCCAAGGGTAACCCAGTGCCAACGTAAGCACATTACACACACACACACACACAGGCTCTCCCTTCCCCAGAACGTTCATTGTGCTCCACTAATGCACTCAGATGACTATTCATGCTCATGAAACATTCAGCAAAAGGGATTGTTCACTTATTCACACACAATCAGGCTCTCACTGACACACACACACACACATAGGGATCCATTGTTAACTTCTTAGTGTCACATTGCTCCTCAAATACTACAACATCAAATATATCTCTCTTTAACGTGACGGCCAGCATCTTCCACTGGTTCACAGTCGGTGCTGGAGAAGAACCACTGGTTTTGTCAGAGTTTGGCACTGATCTGGAAACAGCAGCAGGATTAGAGCAGGTTTAACCCTGAAGATGGTAAAGTGTGACATGTTAAACAGACATGTTTCAGTCTCTCTGTCTAGACTTGGTACAAGCCCGAATTCAGAGAATTCAGTTGACTTTACTGCTTTAGAATTAAAGAACAGAATTAAAAACAGTCATAGGGGAAAATTGATCCAGTCTAAGCTGTAGTGTTAAACAGAGAGTTCCATCTTTGCTCTGTCGTCTCCTCTTAAACACAGAGACATTCTGTTGACGCATGAAAACTAAAGACTAAGTTCTTCTTCTCCCTATACGCACCCATAAGCAACAACATTACAACAGCTTCATGTTCTCTGGTGTGTGTTTAGGTTTACATGGCGAAGGAACGGCAAGTTTTTCAACATCGGGAAAGACCCGCGGGTGACTATGAGGAAACGCTCAGGAACACTGGAGATCGGTTTCCGCAGCGGAGGGCGACCTGAGGACTACGAAGGAGAGTACCAGTGTTTCGCCGAAAATGATTTGGGAATCGCTCTGTCCAACAAAATCCTGCTGCGAGTCTCCAGTAAGAACAACAGATGTGTCACAGTGTTGGCTTTAGTACCGTCCCAGGAACACGGTGTCAGTATGTCATTGTGACATTTATAGGAACATGTAACAAGGTTCACTCTAACTAACCATAGGTGTGAATAGGAGTGTGAATCTGTGTAAGAATGACTGTATGATGGACTGGAGAACAGTTCATGGTTTGACCCCTCTCCCCCCCCTCTTCCCCATCCTCCAGAGGCTCCTCTGTGGCCCAAGGAGGTTCTGGAGCCAGTGTTGGTGACTGAAGGTTCCCCACTGGTTCTAACCTGCAACCCCCCACCAGGTCTTCCTCCTCCATTCACTTTCTGGATGAACAGCGGTGAGCAACAGTTACACACACGCACACACACACACACACACATATTAATGCATTTTATTCAAATGACTTACTGTTTAAAAATGAATGTGCTCCTTAGCTCAGAAACAAAATTCCGTGATCAGCAGCAAACAACAGAGTCAATAATCCTGTGACTTTCAGCAGCTGAGATTATAAATACTCTATTTATTTATAGTAATATTTGTCCCCTGATTCCATCTTCTATTTAGGAATATATGCCATATGTCATGCACACCATAGTTTGAGAACCACTGTGTTCGATCATGATGTCACACTCTAGTCTCTGTAACACTGCTTCTCACTGGTCCTCAGGCCGTGTTGACAACCGTACAGCTGCTGTCAGTCTGTGCGGATAAATTGTGATTGACTGTATGTGTGAGTGTGTGTGACAGTGTTGATATAACACTACAGTGAGGCCAGGATGACGCAGCAGCAGAATCACAGCTGAGGTTTCATGACACGACTTCTTCTTCTTCTTCTTCTTCTGCTCTCCGCAGGAATGACTCCAATCCCTCAGGATAAGAGAGTGTCCATGGGGGTGAACGGCGACCTCTACTTCTCCAACGTCATGGCTCAGGATGCCCACACAGACTACAGCTGCAACGCCCGCTTCCTCTTCACACACACCATCCAGCAGAAAAACCCGTTCACACTCAAAGTTCAGACCAGTGAGTACACCACATATGCACACACACACACCCTCACACACACCGAACAAACTGCAGATTTGGCAGTGGGTTCAACTGTTAAACTTCTGTAGCTACAGTTTGTGGGATGGTAGCTCACATCTCCACCTAGAGGTAATATAATGACATAACATCTGTGTTCGCCATCACACGCCCTCTATGTGAGGACTGATGATCACACTGTGTTTACCTCTTCCTTTTTTCAGACACACCATATAATGAGACATCTTACAATGCCTCTGACCCCTATGGTGGTGAGTCACTTCCTGTCAGGACAGCTCCTACAGTCACCTGACTAAAACCACTAACTGAACACTGGGTGGAGCTGAAACCTTCACTGACGACAGACTGATTTAACATTCTCACTGCAGTGATAGTTGTCCAGCCTAGACGTGGCATTTCTAAGACCTGATAAGAATAAAATGTTCTAGAGCAACCCTAAAGTGGTTCGTATTATAAATTGCATTTGAGAAGGTCATATTTTTTAGTGTGTAAAACCGGCTCAGTGTCTTTTCCCTATGACATCATTCCACCTCATGAATGTTTATGAGGTCATTAACACACAAATTAGCCTCGGTTCAAGTTTATTGTAAAGAGATAAGATTATGTGTCTGTGTATTTATTATAAATGGCAGCTTTTCAATGAACCAATAGCTGCAGGGATTTGATCCCATCAGCTGGCAGCGTAGGAGAGGTTGGATGACTTGATGAGTCCCTGAGGGAGAACAAAGTCCCTGTGACAGAACAGGCATGTGGGTTTGAAGATCAGCAGGACTGATGACACCATGGAGGCTGCAGCACTGAGAGGAATTAGGTCACATGATGAATATTTAGTCTGGACTCCTGCTGTGACCATTCATACTCATATATATATAAATGGAAATCAGGTTTTCCAGCAGTTTCCTTAGCGTTCATGCACATGTATGTGTGTGTAAGTTAACGTGATGAGGACGGTTGTCACAGCTGAAACACTCCCACAGTAAATGACTGTGTCTCCAGATTCTGTCCCTCCGACCCCCTGTTATTAACCACTGATCCACCGTGCTTCATGTTGCCTCTGATCATAACTGATCCTCTCACACACTGATGTCTGTCTGCACTCGTCACTGGAGAAACTACCCACTAACAGATGCTCTAATCCCACACACAGAAAATGCTAATTTTAATCCCACTCACTTCCCAGCAGGCTGCAGCTTTTCCAAAACTGGATTTGGTGTTTATGGTGTGAACAAGATTTGTTTTGGGATTAGATTGGTGTTTAAATCATGCAAAATGAAAGTGTATAAAAATGATGGTTGATTTTGTATGTGTTCTTATCCTCAGTGTTGCTGTGATTGATGTACTTTAAAATTAGTTAGACCAGGTGAATGTGTGAACTTAGAAACGTCACACTTCCCTCTCTGATTGGTCCAGTGAAGCATAACAAAATTGAAACATTTTTGTGCTTCTTTAATTAAAGTAGTCCGGTCTGTGACCTGTCTCCGTCTGATGTTCAGCTGATCAAACAAAACAACAAGAACTCGTCGTCTTCTCTGCTCCTTTGGCCAAACATTAGTCAGATCAATGTTGTTGTTTTCTCTGCTGAGTCTCTAATGGCTTCCTGTGAGAGGACAGAGACAGCCATCGCCCGGGGGAGATAGAAGACAGTCCAGAGGAAATGAGGAGAATCATTTTGTTAAACTTGTTTGTCAGTGCACACAAAGCAGACGTGAAGCTGCTTGAAGGAAACCAGGGAGATGATTGAGGAGCAGATTTCTGATGTTGTCGTGAACTCCTCATTACTCTGTGTCCTCAGGCCGCAAAGTAGCAGAGACCACACCCACCTTCCTCTCACCGTCAGGAACCGAGAGCTCCAAGATGGTGCTGAGAGACGAAAAACTGCTGCTGGAGTGCATCGCTGCAGGACTGTGAGCTCACGCTCTTTATACGGTTGTCATTGTTATGAAGGATCATTTTGTTGTGAACAAAGACAAACCCCTCCCACCTCCTTTGTCACAGACCCACACCCACCATCAAGTGGTTTAAGAAAGGTGGAGATCTGCCAGGACGGAAGGTGAAGTTTGAGAACTTCAACAAGACCCTGAAGATTGTCAGCGTGTCAGAGGAGGACGCTGGGTCGTACGTGTGCATGGCTAACAACCGTTTAGGCAGCATACGACACACCATCTTCGTCGAGGTCAAAGGTGAGGAGTCAACATTGTTAGTAGTGGCGTTGTTAGATTTGGTTAACGTGCAGTTTTATTATTTTTAATTTATAATTTTGAAAGCCCGCTGTGACCTATGTTTCCTACTGTGGTGGCCTGGAAAGATTTGGAAAAGGTTTGACTTGGAACACCGTCATATTAAGCAGAAATAAACAGAAATTGAACCCCTGACCTTCTGATACCATAGGCTTGAAGTAAACTCTATTTTTCACCAGTTCAAGTCAAAGGTAAACAAGTATGAAGACAGTTAGAAAGCACTTCCATATATTTAAGATATTTCTATAGTGTGGTTATGTTTTACAATTCTATGGTCTGTCAACTTTTGTGACTTCATCGTCATCTTGTTCACAGCTGCCCCCTACTGGCTGGACAAACCTACTGACCTGGTGCTGGCTCCAGATGAGAATGGACGCCTGGTGTGTCGAGCAAACGGGAACCCCAAACCCACCATCCAGTGGTTGGTCAACGGTCAACTAATAGAAAGTAGGTGTAGCATCTGGTCTGGCCTGATGGGGTCCAGAATGATCTCTCATCCTCTCTCTCTCTCTCGGTCTCTCTCTCTCTCTCTCTCTCTCTCTCTGATGATTGACAAGAGACAAAAACATTTTCAACTTTTATTTCCATCACATGGCAGTAGATACAGGTGTCGATTATTCCACTGAGGTTTCAGTGACTTTCTAGTGATCTTGTCCTTCTCCTTCTCCCACCCCACCTCCTCCTCCTGACTCCAGGTTCTCCTCCCAACCCCAGCAGACAGGTTTTGGGTGACACCATCATCTTCCGCTCGGTGCAGATGGGGAGCAGTGCTGTTTATCAGTGCAACGCCTCCAACCAGCATGGTTACCTGTTGGCCAATGCATTTGTCAGTGTTTTAGGTGAGACACGTGGGGGAGGCCTCTGTGTTTCAGGTCATCACTGTCAGAAACCTACAGGTGTAAAGGTGTATTCCACTGTTTGTCTCCTGTAGACCTGCCTCCACGGATGTTGGGTCCTAAAAACCAGCTGATCAAAGTCATTGAGAACAACAGGACCTTCCTGGACTGTCCCTTCTTTGGTTCCCCTCTGCCAGAGCTGCGCTGGTGAACATTTCTTGTATTTTTATACAAAATACTGCATTAGTGCCTATGCTGTTGTCATGTCTGATACTAAGGTTGAATTTTCAGGTTTAAAAACGGACAGGGCAGTGGCCTGGACGGGGGCCAGTACCGGGTTTATATCAACGGAACTCTGGAGATAAAAAGGGCCCGGGTGGAGGACGAGGGCACCTACACCTGCGTGGCAAGCAACATTCTGGGGACAGCTGAGAACCAGGTCCGCCTGGAGGTCAAAGGTCAGGCATCCTGTCACTGCCTCTCTCTCAGTAGATCTTTAAATATCTTCAATAAAAACCACAGAGTGAGATTCAGATCTAAGTTACCCTGTTACCATGTGACCTTTTGACCTTTCGTCTGGTCATTCTTACCAATATTCCTTCAACTTTAACGTCATATTCTATCTTTGGGTGTTTACGTCCATTCTCACCAACCATCTCCTCTTCAGAGCCAACTCGTATCGTCAGAGCTCCAGAACACGAGTCGGCCGTCAGAGGATCCACGGTACTGTTCAACTGTAAAGTCAAGTCTGATCCCAGTCTGCCTGTCACTGTGACCTGGACCAAGGACGACAAGGTTCTCCATCTGGGATGGAGGTGAGGGGAAAAGAGGAAAAGAAGGAAAGGGAAGATATGAGGGGAGATGAGAGTAGACGTAAGGAGAAAACGGAGGGGAGGGCAGATAAGGCAGGAGAGGAGAGGAGAATTGTTATCATAGTTCTAGTGCTTCATATTTATCTACCAAACTCCAAGTGACTTTATTATTTTTCAGGTTTCACTGATAAATATAGTTCATCTAGCCCCCCCTACAGTCTGTACACATCTCTCTCTTTGTCTCCAGGTTGAAGAAGGACGACGAGTCTCTGACCATCACCAACGTGCATGAGGGTGATGAGGGAACGTACACGTGCACTGCTAAATCTGAGATAGACCAGGACTCGGCCTCCGCCCGTCTGACTGTGTTAGGTACAAACTACACCCTGGTGCAGAGCAGCTGTGTTTCAGTTCAAATGAGTAATACAGAAACAATACATCATAGTATAATAAAATACTAACATTTAGTATTTTTGACTCAGTCACTGTCAACATCTGTGTACTTCCAATCTCTGCTTGACTGAGCTCATCTGAGTTGAACTGAACCAGCTCTAATACAGTGTCTGATCAATAACATGTAAAGACTGCTCTGCTGTTAACTGTTTAAGACTAACTTTCACCTTTACACCTTCACTTCCTGCTTCATGCCCCTGCCTCACAGAGGAAGCCTCCCTCAACCCCTCAGTCTCTAGTGCCTTGCCTGCAGGTAACACACAGCTCTGCTGAAACTGTCTTTGTCTTTTACTTCCTAGTATTTTTTGTTGAATAACAAAATCAATGATGATTTTTCTATTTATTGTCTCAGTTTCTATAGTTGTATTTAATACGAGGATGTTTGTGCTGTTTGTTAATGATGTTTCGTTATGGAGTTAATCTGGCATGAAACTGACGGATGTTCTTTACAGGATCTGAGTGTGTGTGTGTGTGTGTGTGTGTGTGTGTTGTACACTTACTCCTCCGATTGTGTCTCCACAGACCGTCCAGACCCTCCCATGGATCTGGATCTGTCAGATCTTTTAGCTCGCAGTGTTCGTCTCACCTGGATTCCTGGAAACGACCACAGGAGCTCCATCAAAGGTCAGTGTACACACACACACACACACACACAAACCAGTGTATATGCTTTTCTTGTTTCCTGGTGAAAATGTTCTGACCCAATTTACAGGATTCATTTTTTATGAAACAATGTGTGTGATATTAATGGAACAACACCAAGTGTATACTTAGCTCCACCTTGTGTACAGACCAGGAAGGGGCGCTACATGCTCAGTGTTGACCACACAATACTGGAATTATTTAGGCAGTTTTTTATGAAATATAATCTGTAAATCAATGGATCAACAACAGTTAAATCCTCTGCGGGCAGAGTTCCTGGTCCAGTTTGAGGAGGATCGTTGGGAACCAGGTAGGTGGCAGAATCTGTCCACCTACCCCGGGGACCTGAACTCTGTCATCCTGCAACTGGCCCCGTTTGTGAACTACCAGTTCAGAGTCATTGCCATCAACTCAGTGGGTCAGAGTCAACCCAGCAGACCTTCACCACGGTACAGGACCAGTGGAGCTGGTGAGAGAAAGAACACACACACACACACACGTGTGAACTGTGATAAATATACTGTATGTACAGTGTTGTTGACCAGGTGGTGGCAGTAAGTATGCAGCTATAAAAAACAGATTCATTTACATATATATACACATGTTCTCCTTTTATCAAAAAAGCCCCAGATGCTATTCCCAAAGATCTGCGAGGGTGGGGCTCCATGAAGGACAACATGGAGATCACCTGGGAGGTAAGACAAAAGAACAGTAATAATGCTAATATATTCATTCATAATTGAAGGTTTTGTTGTTTTTTAGATGTTATAAAGAGAAAGGTCTACTTCACATGGCTCTGTTTTACTTTGTACAATATTGGCCTTTAAAAAATATATACGTATTTATATGTGTAGTGTTTCACCAAGGTTACACCAAGCTAGCCCTTGTTTTTGGATTTTACTTGAAAAACTTTTAAGTTGCATTACTGCCACCTACTGGCTGTATTTGAAACTGGTACATGTGTCATCTTTTGTGATTACTGTCAACAGGAATTCTTTAAAACTTTACTAAGTAACTAAGTGGATTTTGCTGTAGCTTTAAATGAATATTTATTTTTAAATGTATTTATTTTCATATCTTTTTACTTGAGTGTGTATTCACTTCAACATCGCCTTTCCAGTCAGTGTGTCTTTACGTTTACACAAGCTTCTGTTTATGTGTGTGTTTTAGCCACTCCTTGATCTGGAGAGAAACGGTCCAGACCTGCAATATGATGTGTGGTGGAGGCGGAAGGACACAGGAGAGGAATGGAATAATGTGACCACAGAGGGTACCAAACATGTGGTTCACCCCACAAACACCTACGTGCCTTATGAGGTCAAAATCAGGGCCAGGAATGAGTTTGGACCAGGACCAGAGTCCAACCTGGTGATTGGTTACTCTGGAGAAGACAGTGAGTCGAGTCAGGCGTTAAATCATCCTTAAAAAAACGCTCCTGTGGAGGCCTGAAGGGAACACGGAGGGAAAAAAACAATTACATTAAAGAAAATATATTTAAAGGAATTCAGTTAAAATAAAGGATCATTAACAATACCATAAGGAACTATTATTTATTAATACTCATCTTTTTTGTTGTTTACCAAACTGATAATATTTTCTTTAACATTTTCTTGTCTTACATTTTTCTGCAGCCTTAAATCACATTCTTTATCATTTCTTAGAACATCTTTCATTTCTGTTTCTCTTATCTTGGAGTGTAGTTTCGAATTTAAAATGTGACTTCTAGCAACCTACAGGAAGTAATGTTTTTCCTCCACGTCACCTCCAGGACTCTGTATATTCCAGACACATTAAGTACTTTCAGAGATCAAAAAAACAGTTCAAGGTAAAGTTTATGTTTTAAATGTGTTCAGAGCCCACCGACGCTCCTACTGACCTGAGGGTGTCAAAGGTCGAGAGCACCAAGGTCAACATCCACTGGAAGTCTGTGGACCCTGACTCTGTGCTGGGGGAGTTCAAAGAGTACAGGGTGAGAGTGAGACTAAGACTGTGATGGAACTCTCTTCCCTCGCTCCACTCCGGAATCTTCTAATGTTGATGAGTGTGCTCTCTTCTTCTGTTCTCCTCACAGTTGTACTACTGGCGTGAGTCCAGCATGGTTCCAGGTTTGGTGGTCGATAAGGAGAAGAAGACCAGAGGCTTCTACAGCACCACGTCTGAGCCGTCCGCCGTCCTGACAGATCTGGTGCCGTACTCCAAATACAAAATGTTCATGGTGGTGGCCAACAATCGCTTTGAGAGTCCGCCTAGCAACACAGTGGAGTTAAACACCAAGGAGGGAGGTGAGGACCTCGGCTGCTCTCCTGGTCCAGACCATCACAGTCTTCAGGGGTTTTTAAATTTGTCAACTCTATATATGATACAATATTGTGGACGGCAGGTGTAGTAACAGATGATCTGCTAAAGTTTAACTGATCATTAGAATGGAAAATTCTTTTGGTGCCATTGATTATAAAGCACAATAAACAAACATGGATGTTTGATCCACTAATCATGAACGAAATAAGATTTAAATTTAAAAAATGTAGCTTCAAACTCCTGCTGGATTGTACTCTTTGTATTAACAGTGGATGAATGAGGTTACCACTGCAGTGCATGGAAGAAATCAGATTAGTAATATGCTATATGGCTTCATTTTTTAAAACTTCAAAATGGACAGTGTTAATGTCCTAATTGATGCAACATGCTAACAAAATACAGTGTTGTGGGACCACATTTGTTCAGCTTATACATTACAAACCCACAAAACTGTGTATGTGTGTGTGTGTGTGTGGATACAGTCCCTGACACTCCAAGATTCTTCAGAATCAACCGTAGGAATTTGGACACTCTCTACCTGGAGTGGGACAAACCTCTGGAACCTAATGGAATTCTGATTGGATACCAGCTCAAGTATCTGACAGGTGAGCTGCAGCAGATTGGTCAAGTTTGTCTGATGTCTCTGCATTTATATTTATTTACTGAAAGGGTTTATTGTTATACAGATTACCTTTTTTAAAATGTGATATTTTGAAGTATTGTTACATCTTTAAGTATTTATAGAAAATAGTATCAAGTTCAGTGAATTTCCTCTATTGTCATTCTACAGTACAGTGACATACTGTATACAACATGTGTGATAATACTTCTACTATTACTACTTTGATCACTACTACTCCTAATAATAATAATAGAAGTAATGATGGTGATAATAAGAATAATGATTAGTTTAAAGGGCAGGGAAAGCAGGTAATATTGTTGATTAAATGTACAGCATAACAACTTGCTGTGTGTGTGTGTGTCATAGTCAATGGTTCCAGGGTGGGTCGTCCACACCTGGAGACATTTTTTCCCAATGCCACCGACTTCACCCTCCGCCTCCCGGACCGATCCACTCGCTACAAGTTCTTCCTGTCTGCACTCACTCAGGTGGGAGCGGGGGAGGTGTACGCTGTGGAGTCACCCCACTTTGCCAATGAAGGTGAGTGTGTGTACACTGTATGTGTCCAAACATGACGTTGAGTTCTGAAATACTGGTGGTTGATCACAGGTGTTCACTAGTGTCTCTCACTCACTCACACACACACACTCACACACTGATGTAACACCACAAACCTGCTGCTGTACATAAAGGTGATCATCCTCTCTGGTGTTTCTCTCTGTCTCTCACTCCTCTCTCCCCCTTTTTCTCTTCTTCTCCCTTTACTTTGTTTTTGGCAGAAAACTTTATTGATACTACAGATCTAGGTAAAGGAGAAACACTCATCTCTGCCTGTTCCCTTCCCTCCATCCTCTGTTTGTTAGCGTTTCTTCATCTAAACATTTGACAGCAGTGCAGTCCGTGTCCGAGCTCTTTTCTCATGTTGGAGTAAATGTAGATAGAGTGCCCCCTGCAGCTCATGAAGCATTATTTTAAGATAAGATTAGACTTGATTCATCCCACAGCTGGGAGATTCAGTAGTAAGAAACGTCATCTGTTATTAGTAATGACTGGTAAAGACGGGGGCGATAAATATCCTCTGATTTAGTCACTGACAGATTTAAGCTTATCTGTTGTGATGTAGCTGTAGAATGAACACGTATTATTGAATAAAGACACACTGATTAATTAAAAAAACAACTTTTTTTTGTTTTACAACAGAACAGTGCAGTGGCATCCAGAACTAAAAGTGACAGAAAATACCAAAAAAAAAGAGATATAAAAGAATATTAATCTTTGAAAGGCCTAATAAAAATGCAGCTGCTTAACAAAACACTGCATGTATAAGTATTTGACATCGAATCAGAATATTGCAAACATTGCAGTGTATGATCACAATAGGTTTATTAAAGCTTATAATTCTTGGGAAAATGCAATTCTTTTTACTGAGCAATATTTTTAGCACATACTTTCTGAGCATTACTGGCTTTGATGGTGAATAATTGCTATTGTTACTAGTACACGTTAACAAGAAAGGTCCACAATATACTGGGGTCAAAATTATCAATGGAACTCTTGACATCTGAGTGAAGAAGTCTCTGAAAACATTTATAAAATATTTTTATGTGCTAAATTAAAAAAGTAAACAAAATGTGCTTTAAGGAACCTACTAAAAATAATTGTTTTCTAATTTCTATGTTTATGGATGTATTTTCTCAGGTTAGATTTCATAACAGAGTAGATCGATTTGAGATCAATCAGAGTTTTTACTGTGGGGACTGAGCTGCTGACAACAGTCTGCTTTTTCTTTTTTGTTTTCTTCATCTCTTCTTCTGCATCTTTTCATTTCTTCACATCATTTCACCTCTTCTTTTCTTCTTATTTCCATCCTGCTGTTTGTCTGCTCATGTGTTCACTCAGGGGTTGAGTGTTCTGACCCAGTGCAGCATGCTGGAGTCACAGACGGCTGTGAATGCTTCAGGTTGTTTCCTTTACTGAGTTCACAGCAGACGCTCCCTGACTAACCTGACATTTTTGAGACGGTCCCTGATGGTTCACTCTCACAGCTCAGCATCACTGCATCAGCTTTGAAGCACAAGTTAGACTTGTGTGTGTTTGTGTGTGTGGTGAGACAAGGTGCACATCCTTCCATGAGGATGCTGAGCTTTGGCCACATGTTGATGAATGACTGGTGTGAAGTAAGAACACACACTTGGCTGCCTGTTCACCTGCTGCCTGTTCAAAACCATGTCACTCCGCCCTCTTTATCCATTGCTTTATCACTGGGTCAGTAAACATCAAGAGGTACAGGTAGGTGAAGTGGTCTGACCTGGTCTGGACACGAGCTTGTCTTAAGAGCACAGATATATGTGGGTTGGACAACAGTCGTGAGACACTTTAATGACTGGAGAAGACCTGCAGGTCAAGGTACAGTTGAATATGGGAATAAAGGGTTAAATATGTGTTTTAAGAATGAAGACAGTAAAAGCAATATTTCTTAATAAAAAAAATTAATGACAATGACAAACTTTTTTGTCTTTGTCCTTTACAATGTATAAAATACTTTTGAAGGTTAAAAACACATTATATATTTTACTATACTATGCTATAATATATTATATTATATTGCATAAATCTTTTTCCTACAATTTATTTGGCACTAAGAAATATAGACTGTTTTATTAATTTGATGGAATTTTTAATAACCATGTTTTACAACCAGGATGTCGGTGTCATTCCTGATATACATTTATTGTCTTTCAAAGGAGATTAATCTTTGATATCTGCAAAGATATACTGAGTGTAACTGATATAGGTGGAAATCCAGTTTTTGTTATAATTCCTTTTTGCACTAAGGGAAGAAAACCCCACAGGAACGGGCGTGCGATACCAGCATCTGTCCTCTAGGTGGCAGTAGCGTTTACACCATGATCATGACTGTGTTTATGCGACGCTATGGAAGAGACTGTAACGACAACAGTGGTCTACAGTGATACTTGTAGACCGATGTTGACGTCACACAGCAGGGCTGTATGATGAAGAACTTTATGAATTTTAACTCAAAGCTTTGTGTGTGTGTGTGTGTGTGTGTGGGTGAACACACACTCATGCTGTTGTTGGATGATTCTGTGGACCTGCTAACCCTATGTTCTCTCCTACCTCCTCCCCCTGTAGTTGAACTTACCGACACCTCCTTGGCCTCACCCTTCACTCCTACACCTCCCCCTCTCGTTACTGTTCCTCCCACTACCCTCCCTCCAACAACCATAAGCACCTCAACTAGTACCGCTCCTCCAACAACAACCTCTTCTACTACTACAACCACCATCACTACAACTACTGAGGCAACAACAATAACAACAGCAGCAACAACAACGACCACCGCCCCGGTGCGGGTCACCACCAGGCGCACGGATCAAAACGTGTTGGGTACATGCTGTCGTCCCGCTCTGGTCTAGTTTCTTAGAGACTCGTATGAAACTTGAGGAGTCAGGGTCTTGTCTTCACCCACCTGACCAAACGAGGAACTACTTCAAGGCTGCATTCCAATAAACTGCTCTGGTCCTGCCTTTCTAAAGTGGACAATTACTTCAGATTATTGGAATGCAGCCGACCACTCTCCTTCTGGTCAGGAAGTGAGGAATGCTCCTCCCCACAGTCTCAGAGTAGATAGAACATGACCATGAAAAGATGGGTCGTTCTATGTCAAAAAAAAACACGTGTCCAGAACATTTGGTTCACTTTCTAAAAATAAGACAGTAGTCAATAAAAAAATAAAAACCTGTGATTTAGTAACACAGGTTAAAAAGAATTACAAAAACAATGGTCATTTTTTTAATATAATCTCATTAATGGAAACTTGTCATTGAAGAAAGACACAAAGATCTTCTTCAACAGCTCTGATTCTTTTCTCTTTTTTTTTAGTTTTCATGGTCATTTGCTGGAAGAGCATTTAATAGTCCTGCATGTCACACATTGACAAACAGGCTGTACAGTCATGTAAACATGGCAGAAGACAAATGTGCCCACTGGTTATGATCAGTACAAACAACCAGACCCCCCCCCACACACACAGAGAGAGATCTGGACTGCAGGCTGTACAGTCATGTAAACATAGAAGGTATTGTCCTGCTGGGTGTTTCCAGGGCACTGTTTTTATCATTGTAGTTTTTACTGCAGTACCATCTCAGTTAAGACACATTCATCTGATGGCTAAAGGTCCCTGATAATCCAGGAACCTCAAAGTCCACATTAGTTTGAGTTTTCATGTGTTAACATATAGGTTAAAATATTTTTTTAGGAAGTGAACTAACCTTTCTGTAAATGTGTTCATGTGTAGACATTGACATCTCCAGTAGGACCCCCAGCTTCTCAGCTCCTGCAGTGAAAACACCGTATACTGATCAGTCTAACACTGACTCTTTTGCCCATTACCTCTGCCCTCTGACCCTGTACCCTGACTCCCCTCCTGCGTGTAGTTGTCCCTGGGCGAGAGATCTGGAATCTGACGGTGGAGCCTAACAGTAACTACGCTAACGTCACCTGGAAACACAACTTCCCGGCCGGCAGCAGCGAGTTTGTGCTAGAGTTCACACTGGACAGTAAGAAACCAGACCCAGTCCATGTAGATCTGCCAAAACCAAACGTTCTCACAGGGTTAGAAAAAAAAAGAAAGAAAGCAATATGATGGGGTCTTTTCCTAATGAGCTGGTTCCAGTAACTGGGACCAAGTTATTAATATCACCTGTCATTTAAAGACATTTAATCATTCTTTTTGATGATTTCATGGTCAGTTAGTACAGACCTACCTGACCCCTACAGTATCAATGTGTTATTGCATCTGCTAGAACTCCTGCTACTTAGTGCCCAACTATACAGTAAACACGGAGCCAAAGTCAGTCATTAATATTGATTATTAAATCACTTATTAAGTCACACATGTGACACAAGTTCAGAGGTCAGTGCTCTGCCTTCAGCCAAACCATGGTGTGGACAGGTGACCCTCACTTCCTGGTTCTTCATCTGTAGGTAACATGTCTTTTATATATAAATGTCCGCATTATGAAGGTCAGGTGAGAGATAACCTGTTGTTGTAGCTAGTGTTGAAGAAACCAGATGTCAGTTCCTGGTTTCTTCAGACCTGATGAAGTGAGATCCTGCTCTAGTCTGTGCATTTCTCTCCTGCAGTTTTTCCCCTCTCTTTCTGTCTCTCTCTCACCGTCTCTCTTTTTAAAACTTTGTAATGTGTGGAAATGTTGACTTTCATCATCATCATCAGACTGATATTCTTCTGCTCTCAGTTTTCTGCTCGGCTCTGATTGGCTGCTGTTTGACTTCTGCTGTCTGTTGGCTGTTTATCTCTGCGTTGCTTGTGTTTCTTTAACTGCTTGCATCATCACAGGCTTTAGTCCTGCACTCAGGTGTTGACCCGTCCTCTGTCCTCTGGACTATGTGTCCTCACCTTCTTTAAAGTCAACATCACCCGTCAGTGATCTCTGGTCAGGGACCAGTAGGAACTTATTTTTCTTCCTGCCCTTGAGTGGCCGTGTGAATTTTTAATGGTGTCTGGATGATAGTGGGAGGAGGTAATGGGGGTGAGACTGATCGAATCGGCCCCTCCCACTCCCATCCTTTTCCTGTGTTCCAAGGTCAGACTTGAAAGCTTTAGGGTTAAGATAGAGGAGTGGCTGAGACCCTTTAACACCAGCTGTCGTTTCCACCCCGTCATTTCTCCACTGTATATTTAACAGCATCCTCATCTGAACATGTTGGCGTTTGAAGGAAACACACATCTGATCATGTGCTCTGGAGATACAGTAGCTGCAGTTTTCTTAAAGATATTCTTTAGTGGTGATTGTGTGACCTCTGACCTCTGAACCTGAGCCAATAATATATAGACTCCGGTGCTCCTGCTAGAGCTCAACCATTCTCTACTCCACCTCTGAGCTCCAGCTTCCCCACGCCTAAACTCTCCCTCTCTCACTCTTCACAATCCTTGTTCTAATATTCTTTCTACTTCCTGTTGTCTTCTGACTCTACTTTCTTTGTCCCAGCCTCTTTCTCTCTCTCTCTCTCTCTCTCTCTCTCTCTCTCTCTCTCTCTTTCGTTGGCTGTTTTGAACAGCTATGTACAGTTGGCTCAATCATGGGTTCACTCTCCCTGACAGCTCACAGCTGTGTTCTCCTCACACACTGACAGATGTGACTGCCCACAGCCAGTTCAGACTGGTGCAGATTTGTGTAACTGGGAAGTGTTTTATAATACAAGCTGCTGTGAAGTTCAAAAATCTACATTTCATTTGACTGAAGTTCCTGCAACTTTTCATCTACATTTCCAGAAGGTCAATCTGAGACTAAAGGATGTGTTGATGATCTAGAAAGCTTGAAATACTTTAAAAAATACTTAAAGATACTTGAAAAGACACAGAATTGTATAATGGTTGTATGCATATATCACTGAGGGAGGTGTGAAGAGAATGGACTCAAAGTCAGAGGAACACAGTGTAGTTTTGCCTGCATCCTATCATTTTGCATGTATTTTCTTAGAGCAGCGTGACCCCAGTGACCTCAGCAGCTGAGCTCAGCTCAGGTCGTAGTCTGTATGTCATGTTACACTCCGAGCCCGGACTTTTCCCTCAGTGTTTCCCAGAGCATGGCTTTGGAATGATCCCAGTTGGATGACATGGATATCAGTCATCACTGGTTAGCATGGTGCATGATGTCACCACCTGGTGTCGCCCTCTCTGTCACTGCCACCACAGAGTCATGCTCATAGCTTGGCCATGTCATGACCAACGTGTCTTTTTGTTGGAAAGACACAGGCTGTTCCTGCTGCTGTGTGAACCTGTGATCGACTGAGACTAACAGTGCTGGTACCTAGAGTTACATCGGAGAACGCAGACTCCTGCTGTGGACCAACATGGTCCTCCTGGTCCAGACTAGATGCAGATCTGCAGGTCCGTAGGACCATAGGGAACTACGCAGTTTCTGTATTTAGTGAAGAGACACCACGGATCCAGATGTGTCCCTGGTATTGATGGCACTTGGACTGGTTTTATGTATTTTTGAGCTATTTTTTTTTATAATACCACACATAAAGGCAGACAAAATATTTATTTTTTGGATTGAAGGACATTTTGGATCATCTAAGTGGCTCATTTCAAATTTTAAACTTGACTCCTAACTAGACTTTATTTTAACCAGCTCTGATGAACAAAACTTCTATAATCTTATCAAAATGTTTTTGACACATGTAATTAAATAAATCAGTTAAGATTCAGTTAAGTAGTTTTATTCAATTTAATTCATGACCTCAGCTCCAACATGGTCCAGTACTGAACTGGTACCATCTCTGTGCTCTGGTTTGGTCCTGCACTGTTACCTGTCTCAGTTTCCATCACTGACCTGCTGTCACTTCTTTCAAATACTTTAATGCTGTCACTGAGAGCTTCAAGCATAGGCATTGTTGCTAAATCATGGCCACACCCCCTGGAGTGTGATTGGCCCCTTTCTTGTGTCTCCAAGGCGATAAGACGGTGAAAATTGTCCCAGTGAAACAACAGCCTCCGATTAGAGTGGCGGATCTGATCGCTGGTGCCAAGTACCATCTGAAGGTTTACTCCCATGAGCTCAACAACATCAGCAAAAATGTCACCTTTAAGACAGGTGAGATAAAGCAGCAGCCAGGTGGAAGCAGGGGAACAGCCCCACAGGGCGGGGACCGGGACCAGTCACTGAGGCTCATGGTCTCCTTGGAAATGACTGGACATTGTTCCTCCTGTTGTTTATGGTTGTTGTAATAATCACCACTGAAGACAAACATTGTTTTTTGTCATGAATTCGATTTTACGATTTCTCTCCATGAGAGATTTGATTTTCTTTGATGTGCTGGATAGTAATTTTACATCTTTTCAGATTTTGTATTTGTTCACTGTGGTACTTCGCAGTGCTTTGTCTTTGACCGTTGAACCTCATGTGATGCTCAGATCCATCAGACTCACTGTACACCACGTTAACTCAATATGTGCACACCCCTCTGCCCCACCCTTTGTCCTTCCATGTCTCCAGCCTACATAGACCAGGTGGACATCGCCACCCAGGGCTGGTTCATTGGCCTGATGTGTGCCATCGCTCTCATCATCCTCATCCTCCTCATTGTCTGCTTCATCAAGAGGAGTCGAGGTGGAAAATACCCAGGTAAGACACATCAACAGCCCCATCTGGTGGGTTGTTACGACAACAACACCCAGTAAAAAAAGTAGCGTTTTTTTTATTTTTATGAAGTTATTTGTATTACATTTACATATCTTAGATTCTATGTTTATGTTCTATATTCTACCTTCTCTGATTCTGAAATAACGACCACCAACATCAGAGTGGGTGTTCATGTTTTACAGTCTCTATAATGTTTAGGTGCAGGATTCCTGACTGGTTTCACAAAATATCTGGGTAGGTTCTGATTAGTAATGCTAATGCTAATCTGGATGATCTGAAAGCTAACAACAGTCTGATGAGCTCAGTGGATTGAAACCTAAACTGACTAATCTGAGGATATAAGGAGTGTTCTGTACTGATCCAGTTCTGTTCATCTGTATGTGTGTTTCTGAACTCTGCTGCTTTAATGATACAGCCATGAGTGAGAGCAGAGGAGTTCTGCTGCTCCGGGGACTAACTCTTCACTTTACACACAACATGTCCCTGAACAGTTCCTGGTTATATTAATATTATATATTTAATATTATAATAATGAGAATTACCTACAGTTAGTCACAGGTGCTCATTAAAGCAGTTCTACTCACAACCAGCAGAGGACTCTCTAACATAACTCTCTTATGTTTGATGTTTTTTTACTTCGTTTTTCTTTTTCTAATAATCTAATAAATAGTACTATGAACTGTAAACCGTATGATTCTCTATCAGGAATTGTTAGTGATGTTTTCTTCTTCCTGTTTTCAGTGCGTGACAAAAAGGATCTGCCTTTGGACTCTGTGGACCAGAAAGACCCAGAGGGATCCTTTGACTACCAGTAAGTATTTTTAACACGACCTCCAGCTGCACTAAAAAGTGCAGCGACCGCTCCAGTGTGTCCAAATAAACAAACAAAGAGAATGAACTGAAAAGCTCTGTTAGCAGAAATAAACCTAGAACATGATCTCTGAGCTGTCACTGATATTGGTTCTGCAGAAGTCAAACAGCTTTAGACATGACTGGGTTTTTACATCACTTCATAGTACAGTATGTACAGTAATATTAATTATAACAGTGTTATAGTTACCATGAAAATGAAAGTGTTGTCTGTTTCTTTTTTCTGCTCCTCCAGGATCCACTGAGTTTGATTCCCTCGTTCTTTTCACTGGACTGAGACGTTTTGTCCACTTTGACTAAATATGTTGAATTTAACATTCTGTCTTAATCTGAGATTAAAATCTAACCTGGTTTGAGGCATCCGCCATTTAATCACTTTACTGAATTAATGTCTCACTAACGACAAGGCCTTAAAACAACAATATAACATGAATACTCAGGTGTCAGCACATGGGCAGGACCTGAACCTGGATCCCCACTGTCCTCCAGTGAACAAGTCCAACTGTGATACACAGCAGATGAACCACGTGGCCCAACTTTTGGTCCCTGACCCCAATGTTTTCTTTCAAGTCAAAATGGCCGTTCCTCCTGCGTTTAAAATTTTTCAGAATGAACGTTGGGTTTTTTTTCTACATCCGTTAAATTCTTGAAATAGAAAATTTCTGCAGGATTTATAAATATATACACCAGCCTAAAGTCTTTACTCAGCACATACAGAGTACATCGTTTGTATAAATCCACACTAGGCTTAATATCACTGTCTTTTTGGGACAGAGCGGTATAAAAGCACATGACAAATACTCATGTCTGATTCGCTGTGACTGAGGCAGCTTCATTTTGTTTGTTTGTCAACAATCAGTGTGACATTAACATTCAGGTGGTCTCCACAGTGCAGCTCATCGCTTCAGTCCAGTCCTTAAAATGGTGCTAATGCACTGACTCCCCCCTCCGCCTCCCCTGCAGCTCTGTCTGTGTGTGTGTGTGCATGTCTGTGTGAGGTTCCATGCATGTTTATCAGCACATGTGAAGCTCCTCTGTCCTGGGTTCTTTGTCTCCTCCTGCTGCTGTCTCCTCTTAAACCTCACATCCCGTCCCTGTTTTTTCCCCTACGCTGAAATGGGTCGTCTGTCCCCGGCAGGAACGAAAACGAACACAGGTACTTTGGTCTCAGCACCGTGTCTCTCCTAACTTGAGCATGTCACCTGGAGCAGATGTTCCTCCAGAGCACCGGGGTCGGCAGTCGGAGGTGGTGTCTGATCAAACAGAACAATCAGCCTGTGTTGTTGGCTGTTTGACCTGCAGTGTCAGCTTTAGACATGACTTTGGCCTGCTCTATATTTGAATTTGAATAATGGGACGAGTGATGCTGTGACGTCTGAGGAACATGTCTGACATGAACACCACGTGGCTGCAGATTCAGGGTTTTAACTTTAAAATACTTTAGAAAAGATGTAGTGAATATTGTTAAATAAGAAGTATAACTCTGCATATAAAAGTTCTGAGTTTATTGTTCAACAGTTCGACTGTTGCTGCTGTTTCTCTGCTCTCCAGCCTGCACTACTTCAACATCACTATCCCATTATTCAGATCCATGGATGACTGTGACGTTTATAGAAACATTAGAAAGCCAAACATCTGGTTCAGTGTCAGAGTCGCTGTGGTTAAAGTTAATTATATTTCTTAGGCTGCAGTACAGATGAAGGATGAGGGAAGTTCTACACTAAAAATAATTTTAAAAAAATCCAAATCCACATACAAACACAGAGTGTGGTGTTCACCATCTCCCATCGTTGTTCTTCTTTCTTTTTTTGATGGACCTCACACAGGGGAGGGTGTGTGTTAAAGATATGTTACTATTATATTTTATGGCAGAGTTGTGCAGTACACTGATGAAACAACTTGTAATTAATCCTGGGTTAAGAATGGATAATTTGATTAAATATTTAAATCAATTGACAGACCCTAATTAATACATGTTTCAGTTTGAAATTTAAAGGTTGTCCCAAATGTCCTAAAAAATGTCAAAAACTTCAGACCAGTCCTCAGAAGTTACGTCTGTAAATGTACAAGAGAAGACTGTGTTGGACCTTCTGGTTGGATCACTTTGAACTCTTATCTGTATTAGTGTGTGTTTAACTGGTGTGTGTACGAGTGTATGTTTGGGAGTGGGTTTTCTGCTACAACTGTACTTTGTATTTTGAGGTTGAAGATTTACTCTGGAGTTTAGATTAAGACTGGACATAAATGCACTAGAGTACGGGCCTAGAGAATGTATTCTGTCTATATGAAGGGCTGTGTGTGAGAGGGAGAGGAAGGTTCTGGTAAAGCTACACCTGTGTGGATAGATTTATGTACAACTACCTTAGCTCTCTGGACCTTGGTCTTGTGTGGACATTTTCTACATCCTTAACCTTTGGGATTAAACTCAGATTATAGTACAGACTGGGTATCCAAGGAGAAGTGTCTCAGCGAAGTGCTGACAAACACTAACCTCTGTGTGTGCAGTGACCACTGTGTACAGAGTACACACAGTATAGCATGTAGCATGAAGTAAGAATAGTTCTTACCTTTTATCGTGTCTGAAGATAAAATGTTTGAATCTTTAGCTCTAGATGAAGGACATGCTCTTTTTGCTGCATCTTTAACTGCATTTGCTGTGACTGGGAGAAAAAACAAACACGCTTTAATCAACTCTTTCTCTCTGTGCATGGGATTCAGATTGAGGTTCAACCCCTGGTCCTGATCTGAACTGAAATCCAGTAGCTCCATAACCCAGACCTCCTGGAGTTGATTAGACCATATGTCAGAGCATGACCACTGTGACACAGCATGTGTATGAAAAATATAACAGTGTTTCCTGTTATACCACTAACTGCAGTGACTGGGTAGTATTTGTTAAAACGGCATCGTTGGTTTCCTTGTCAGGACTTTGATGTCAGAGATTTTTATTGTTTTGTTTTTTTTAAAGGTATTCTCTATAATCACTCCATGGTTCATTATGTGTTAGTAGTTTCTGGGATTATCCATCGTCCATCATTATCATCAAACAGGTGAAAGTGATTGAAACAGTTTAATTAACTGAACCACAAACAGCTGCGGGAGGAATTTCCTCTTCTTTTTCCTTTCAGTGATCAGGACGTCCTGTGGAGGAAATATTTACTCATATAGCATAGACCCAGTAGGTGGCAGTAACACGTATCGCACACTGAGTACAATAAGTGAACAATCAGAAACAAGACTAAAAGTTTTCAGTGTTTCTTTTTGAAAAAAGTTTTGACTCAGTCACAAGATAAGGTTTATTAAATGTGTACTTAGCACCACCTACAGGTCAGGAAAGGGGACAATACGATGCCAATATCTATTCCCCTGTTCCCCATGGAACTTCACCTTAGAACATATTCAATGACCTCAACATAATTTCTTCCTTAACGTTGAACCATGTCCGTCGGTCCCTAAACTCTTGTCACACTGTCCTCCTGTGAAACACCTTTAATCTCTGCCCTTCCCTCCGTCCCTCCCTCCCTCCCCCCCCTCTGCAGCAGCGACGAGGACAACAAGCCCCTGCAGGGCAGCCAGACTTCACTGGACGGCAACGTGAAGGAGAGCGATGACAGCCTGGTGGACTACGGCGAGGGCGGCGACGGTCAGTTCAACGAAGACGGCTCCTTCATCGGCCAGTACACAGTGAAGAAGGACAAGGACGAGACGGAGGGCAACGAGAGCTCCGAGGCCACCTCCCCCGTCAACGCCATCTACTCACTGGCGTAGCAGCAGGCGGGGACAAAGATGACCCCCACACTGGACCCAGAGAACCCCCACACATGAATATATATATACGAGTATACCAAACCAGAAGAAAAGCAGCGCGGCCGTCAGGAGACTGTGGACCACAGAAACACTGGAGTGGACTGAGAACTAGAACTAGAACCAGAACCAGAACTAGAACCAGAACCAGAACTAGAACCAGAACCAGAACTAGAACTAGAACTAGAACTAGAACCAGAACTAGAACCAGAACTAGAACTAGAATGGGTAGTATTTGTTAAAACGGCATCGTTGGTTTCCTTGTCAGGACTTTGATGTCAGAGATTTTTATTGTTTTGTTTTTTTTAAAGGTATTCTCTATAATCACTCCATGGTTCATTATGTGTTAGTAGTTTCTGGGATTATCCATCGTCCATCATTATCATCAAACAGGTGAAAGTGATTGAAACAGTTTAATTAACTGAACCACAAACAGCTGCGGGAGGAATTTCCTCTTCTTTTTCCTTTCAGTGATCAGGACGTCCTGTGGAGGAAATATTTACTCATATAGCATAGACCCAGTAGGTGGCAGTAACACGTATCGCACACTGAGTACAATAAGTGAACAATCAGAAACAAGACTAAAAGTTTTCAGTGTTTCTTTTTGAAAAAAGTTTTGACTCAGTCACAAGATAAGGTTTATTAAATGTGTACTTAGCACCACCTACAGGTCAGGAAAGGGGACAATACGATGCCAATATCTATTCCCCTGTTCCCCATGGAACTTCACCTTAGAACATATTCAATGACCTCAACATAATTTCTTCCTTAACGTTGAACCATGTCCGTCGGTCCCTAAACTCTTGTCACACTGTCCTCCTGTGAAACACCTTTAATCTCTGCCCTTCCCTCCGTCCCTCCCTCCCTCCCCCCCCTCTGCAGCAGCGACGAGGACAACAAGCCCCTGCAGGGCAGCCAGACTTCACTGGACGGCAACGTGAAGGAGAGCGATGACAGCCTGGTGGACTACGGCGAGGGCGGCGACGGTCAGTTCAACGAAGACGGCTCCTTCATCGGCCAGTACACAGTGAAGAAGGACAAGGACGAGACGGAGGGCAACGAGAGCTCCGAGGCCACCTCCCCCGTCAACGCCATCTACTCACTGGCGTAGCAGCAGGCGGGGACAAAGATGACCCCCACACTGGACCCAGAGAACCCCCACACATGAATATATATATACGAGTATACCAAACCAGAAGAAAAGCAGCGCGGCCGTCAGGAGACTGTGGACCACAGAAACACTGGAGTGGACTGAGAACTAGAAC